ATAGCTTTTGTATATATTATTGTGTTCATATATTAAGATGGAAAAGTGGAATTTGATTAAAAGCCTATTTCTAGGTAAATGAAGAGTGAGTAGCTCTGGTCTATGTAGGTCATGTGATCCTGTGATTTATGTAGGTCATGTAGTCCTAAAGCCACCAAATTACTTGAAAGTATGATTTCTGCCATGCTGTGGGTTGCATTTCACTGTTGATATATATTTTTAAATTAAATAAATCTTTATTGCTCAGATTATTTCAATTGTCCCCCCCCCATAGCTCCCTTCCACCCAGTTCCCACCCCACCCTCTGCCCTTACCTCCCCTTCCCATTGTCCTCATCCATAGGTGTGGTATTTTAGTCCAGTCTCTTCCTGCACCTCCTACATCTCTTTCCCCCTGATAACTATCAATCCACTCCCTTTCTTTGCCCGATTCTATTATATTCATTAGTTTATTCTGTTCCTCAGATTTTTAATTCACTTGATTTTTAGATTCACTTGTTGATAAATATGTATTTGTTGATCATAATTTTTATCTTTACTTTTTTCTTCCTCCTCTTCTTAAAGATTACCTTTCAGCATTTCATGTAATACTGGTTTGGTGGTGATGAACTCCCTTAGCTTTTTCTTATCTGTGAAGCTCTTTATCTGACCTTCAATTCTAAATGATAGCTTTGCTGGGTAGTGTAATCTTGGTTGTAGGTTTTTGCTATTCATCACTTTGAATATTTCTTGCCACTCCTGACTGGCCTGCATAGTTTCTGTTGAAAAATCAGCTGGTAATCGTATGGGTGCTCTCTTGTAGGTAACTGTTTTACTCAGTTATTTGAGGTGGACACTCTTGGTGCTCCCCTTTGTGTACTGCGTACAGCCTTGTTGTAGTTAAGTCTTGATTGTTGTTGGTATCACTGGGAGGAATTGACCTCCAGACCTATTGTCTGTATCAGCTTGTCTACACCAAGATATCTTCTGTATTGGAGACAGTCTTATAGGATCAGACTTTTGCAAAAGCCTCTGTGCTCACCTTGGATGGGGCAGAGCCTCAGGGCTGAGCCGCCAGTCTTGGCTTCCCGTCAGTCCTGCCCTTGTGCGTGTGCCTCAGACTTCTGCCTTCCACAGATCCCCTGAGTTTCTGCCTGACAGTTCAGATTCCCCTTGTAAAAGCATGGGTGCCCCAGGAGCTCGCCCTGAACTGGGTTTCAGTGCTCAGTGCAGTTAGGAACTTCCAACTCCTTCTGCTATGAGAGGCCGCAGCAGCTTCCGCTGTCAGACCTCTCTGCGTGCACTCACTCTCACGCTGTGTCTCCGGCTCCCCTGGTCTCCCAGTCTGGTCAGTCCTCTCTGGGCGGCTCCCGGCTCCCCCGCGTCTCCCAGTATCTGAGTCTCCAGGTGCCTCTCTCTACAGTCCAGACTCCACCCATATGAGCCTGAGTCCACAGGGTTTTGGCCAGGGTTGGGGATCAGTGCAGCTGGAACAGGGTTCACTGCAGTCAAGGGCATCCTTTCCCCTCCCGCCATCCGGCACTTGGCTGCCCTTCCTCTCTGCATGAGCGTCTCCCTACCTCAGTGCTTTGCAGCTCCCGATCTGATCTGTGAGCCTCTCTCCTCCTTTCTAGTTGTAAATTTCCTGCTCAGCCAGCTTTCCTGTGGTTTTGGATGACGTCCGTTCTTTTTCTTATTTTGAAATTGTGCGAGGCAGTAGTTTAGGCGCTTACCTCGTCCGCCTTCTTGGTTCTCCCCCGATGGTGTCTTTTTTAAGAAAAGATATGTTTTCATTGATTTCACAGAGGAAGAGAGGGGGAAAGATAGAAACATCAGTGATCGGAATCATTGATTGGCTGCCTCCTGCAGCCCCACACTAAGGATGGAGCCCACAACCTGGGCATGCTCTCCAACTTGGAATCGAACCCTGACCTCCTGGTTCATAGGTCAATGCTCAACTGTCTCAGGAAGGCACCATCGAGGGCGAGAATGTGTAGAATGTAGAAAACTATTCCAATACAAGTTTTCTTCACCTGCCCAACAGCATCTGGCTGCCAGCACCTCCCCTGCAGGAGCCACGTCATTCTTCCCGCAGAGCTGGCTTCCATTCAGGCTGGTCCTATGACCCATGGCCTTCTCTTACCTCAGTCGGATCTCAGAGTTGGGCTATGGAAACAAGTCAGCAGCCTGTGCTATCCTCAATTTCGCAGTAATCATAAGACTTTAGATTCAAGGAAAGGAAAGCAATTTATCTGTGATGCAGATATCGCTGTGATGAGAAGAAAGAATAGGATTAAAAATGTATTTCCTTGCTGTTTAACTGGAGGCATTCTATAGAGCTGGCCGTCATCTATAAGCAGGTAGCCTGATAGACAGCCTTCTCTGGGGAGCATGTCTCGAGGGCCCAGCCAGGCACTGTGGGCTTGAATAAGGAGGGTGATGTCTCAGATAGAATGTGGCCCGGGCCTTCATTTGGACCTATTTGAGGGGACATGGGAGCACCACTGAGCCATTGCGTCACTAACCCGAGGACGATTTAAAAAAGGGGAGCATCTCACCTCCATGCGCCAGGAAAAGGTGGCCTCTTGCTCAGCCCTTAAAAATCCCTCAGGGTTCCTCATCTGCTCACACTGCTCATTATGAGGTCTCCATGTTCACAAAGCAAGCACTCACCTTGTCTGGACTGTTTTCCGTTCTTACTGTCTGACCCAGGCCACGTGTGCTTTCTTTCACTAACTCTGGCCTGGTGGATCTTCCATGATGGCCTGAATAGTTCAGACCTTTACAGATGTCCCATTCCATCAAATCTGAGACAAACCATTATTCAAGTACCTCTTAGGAAGTACTTAATGGGAAAGGAGAAAAAGGGCCAGTTAAACCAGAACATGCTAACTTCAGAGATATAACAACATGGACATTTGGGAAACTGAACAATTACATTTCTGGATTACTGAAGAGGCCAAGTAAGCCCACTTACACATACAACCCTTCTATGTGCAGGGCTCCATCAGAGGAAAAGAATGTGGTAAGCCATGTAAACTTTTCACATATTTTACTTAAAATGCATACCATTGAAGTTATAAGGATGATACATGAGTGTGGAAAACCTTGGTAGATATCATTTCAGCAATTATACTGGAGGGCTCTTGAACTGAATGCATGGTTCTTACACAGAACTAACTACAGCCTGCCAGACCTTCAGTCCTGTTATGTGGCACAGGCACAGTCACCTAGAAGGGAAAGTGCTGAGCAACAGAACAGGTGCCACAAGTGGTGGAAATAGTGAAAAATGTGGCCATTCCTCTTAATGGTGAGGAATATACTACTCAAATAACACAGGCATCAGGCTAACCACTGGAAACAAGAGGAGGTTCTTACCTTTCAAAATATGCTGTCAACTACAGTGCAGCAACAACCTATGAATATGAATGAGCCTAAACAAACGTTATGGCATGCATTACAAAAAGGAATGTATCTGGATCCAAAGGTCCTTAGGTCAGTGATGTAACGATTCATGGAAATGGATACACTCAATTGTTTCTAATGCTCTACTTACATCAAAATTTACAGGAAATAAATCTCTGTATCAACACCTCAAAATAAATGAATTCCCTAAAGTCCACTTCTCACTTGTGTAACTCCTACAAAGGTGTCACTTTGTATCTTCAGTTACCAATGAAAGAGCAACCCAAATCTACTGGCTGGAAAAGGTAAGAGTCTTTCACAGAGGAACAGTCCCGAGGCGAAGTGGCTCCATGGATGGCTGGTCCAGTGGCTCAGCATCCCTGTCTGGGCCCCAGGTCTGCGTCTTTCTGCTCTGCCACACTTTAGATACATGTCATTGTTGAGACATAAAAAAGTATCACTTCCCAGCAAGGCAACGTTCCTTACCCACAGGACTCCAAACCTTTTCCAAAAATAATGTGTCAAGTATCTCCTTTGTATATGTGTCTAGAATTGGGTGCCAAGATCACCTCATTGCTGGTAATGAGGAAGGCATTATCATTACTGGTTGAAACTGATCAGGATTTATCCCTGTTCCATCAGGAGAAATGGATACCCAAACTCTGCCAGCAAACAGTAAGGAGCAAGTGGCAAGGGTGGTTACTCAACATGACACTGGATGGGTTCTCTTATTTAAATGAGGTCTGACTTCAGAGAAGCCTTCCCACATCAAGCACATTCACATTCCCCCGCCTATGGATCCTCTGATGGCTATTGAAGGCTGATTTGTGGTAGAAATTTTTCCCACATTCGCAACAATGTCTGCCACAAGCCGGTGTGAACATGTTCTTCAGTCACCCAGGAATAGGACGGAGTAGAGCACAGTGTTTAAAAATACTATCAAATAAAATACACATAATTCCTAAATTACATGGTACGGTGGTTTGTACATTTACATTTGTGTAGGCATCCAAAAAAAAAGAAAAACAGATCAAAATTAGATAAAAATTTAAGTTCAGTTTTAAAATGTAGAGTTCAATGAATATTGGTTTTTCTCACTACTAGAGACTTCTGGCATTAACAATTTAAAATTACCTATGCAGTTTTCTATTTTGTACATTATTTTCTATCTCTTGCTAATTCAGATATAGTTGTGAACATTATAAATACACTGACTTCATTATGGCAGTGTTTAGTTATTCAGTTCATTAACAATAATCAAATATATTTGTAAGTGCTAGGAAAGAGTACAAGAAGAAACATACTTTATATATACCAAATACTATAATAGTTCAATGACAATGCATTCTAAGTACTAACATGGCTGTATTATTAAAATAGCCAATCTTACACGTCTTACAAATCATTCCAATAAGGATATACTGCCTTTTCAAACATGATTCCAAATGAATGTACAGTCCCTGTAATGTACCATTCTAAAAAACAAGTTAATAAAGGCCTGCATGGTCAGGACACACTCATGTATGAGTTTAATGTGGCTGTATTGTGGTCCTGATGAACTATCTAGTCTTATAGATCCTATTTATACAAAGGGTACATTTATTCACAATATATATATTACAAAAAACTTGATATTATAACAGAAATGTAACTTTTAGTATTAATAACTCCAGAGGAGACTTTTCCACATTCTGTAAAATGACAGATCTCCTGTTGGAATGAATTCCCTGATACGTGAAACAGTCTGACTCCATGGAAGTGTATGGACATTCTACATGTTCATACATTTTACAGTCTGGTATCTCACAAGTCATGTGTCTTATTGTAGTTGCAGTTTCCGCTCTGTGAATTCTCAGATTAGAAGTTTGATAATGCACAGAGGTGGGTCTACTTTCCCCTGTGTGAACTCTGACTTAACAAAGGTAGGAATTAACATTACACTGGATGGGTTCTCTTATGTAAAATGAGGTCTGACTTCAGAGAAGCCTTCCCGCATCAAGCACATTCACATTCCCCCGCCTATGGATCCTCTGATGGCTATTGAAGGCTGATTTGTGGTAGAATTTTTTCCCACATTCGCTACATTCATAGGGTTTCTCTCCTGAATGAGTTCTGTAATGTACAGTAAGGTATGACATTCGAGAGAAGGCCTTTCCACATTCATTACATTCAAAGGGTTTCTCTCCTGAATGGATTCTATGATGTATCGTGAGGTATGACATCTGAGAGAAGCATTTCCCACATTCGTAACACTCATAGGCTTTCTCTCCAGTGTGTGTTCTCTGATGACGATTAAGAGCTGAATTCTGACAAAAGGTTTTCCCACATTCATTACATTCATAGGGTTTCTCCCCTGAATGGATTCTATGATGTATCGTGAGGTATGACATCTGAGAGAAAAATTTCCCACATACATAACATTCATAGGGCTTCTCCCCTTTATGTATTCTTCGATGTCTACAAAGGGCTGAATTCTGGTAGAAGGTTTTCCCACATTCATGACATTCATAGGGTTTCACTCCTGAATGAGTTCTATGATGTATAGTGAGGTATGACAACTGGGAGAATAATTTTCCACATTCATTACATTCATATGGTTTCTCTCCGGTGTGTACTCTCTGATGTCTCATGAGGGCTGAATTCAGGTAGAAGGTTTTCCCACATTCATTACATTCATAGGGTTTCTCTCCTGAATGAGTTCTATAATGTACAGTGAGATATGATAACCGAGAGAAAAATTTTCCACATTCGTTACATTCATAGGGTTTCTCTCCTGTGTGTGTCCTCTGATGTGTTGTGAGGGTAGACTTGCGGCAGAAGCATTTCCCACATTCATTACACTTATAGAGTTTCACACCTGTGTGAATTTTATGATGGTCATTAAGTGCTGACTTCTGGGAGAAGGTTTTCCCACAGACATGACAAACATAGGGTCTCTCTCCTGAATGTGTTCTCTGGTGTTGAGTGAGGTGAGTCTTCTGGCAAAATGATTTTCCACAATAACTACATTCATAGGGCTTCTCTCCTGAGTGAGTTCTCTGATGTTGAATGAGGTGTAACTTCTGGTAGAAAGTTTTCCCACATTCTGTACATTCATAGGGCTTCTCCCCTGTGTGTGTTCTCTGATGTACAGTGAGGGTTCCCTTTTGGCAGAAGGATTTCCCACACTGATTACATGCATAAGGTTTCTCTCCTGTGTGAGTCCTCTGATGTATAATGAATTTTGACTTTTTACAGAAGGATTTCCCACATGCATTGCATTCATAGGGTTTCATTTCCATATGAGATGTTGGATGTACACTGAGGTTTGACATCTGGAGAAAGGCTATTTCAGATTCATTCCACTTATAGGGCTTCTCCATAGGATTAACAAAAACTGCATCCTTTTGAAAGGCTTTCTGGCATTCAATATATTCAAAGGGTTTCTCCAAAATATTAATGTCCTGATAAATACTTTCTTTATTTAGAGTATAGGCTTCCCCATTTTGATTAAATTCATAAGATTTCTCCCCTGGGTAAGTTTTCTCAAGCTTCACATGAAGAAGTGATTTCCCACAGGCACTACATTCATCAGGCTTCATTCTTGCATAGCTTCCATCACTACTAATATATTCTGAAGTGGATTTTAAGCTCTTTTCACATGAGTCACACTTATAGGATGTTTTTCTTAGAGGAAAAGAGTTTATTTCCACATTAAAAGACTTACCAAGAACATCACCTCTCTCTTCAATTAGAGTTTTGTTGTTGATGGATAGAGTTTGCCTGGAATGTTTGTCTTCACTTTCCTTGACTCTGTCTATCAGGTCAACTTTCCAGACTTCTGAAAAGAGGCAAAATTAACCAAATTTTGTACATCTTCCTACATAAGATATGGGATGAAATGTACATAAGCATGTTTGTGGCATAGATGGTAGCTTCATAGATGAAAATAATTCCATCTGTACCTTTCCCCCTTATTCTTTTTCTTGTGTATGTTTATTCTCACCTGAGGATACTTTTTCGATTTATTTATTTATTTTAGAAAGAATGGAAGGGGAAGAGGAGAGACAGAAAGAGAGAGAGACAGAGACAGAGACACACATATGCATGGGAAAGAGACACTTCAATTGGTTGCCTCCCCACATCCGCAGCCAGAGCTGGGAATTGAATCTATAACTGATGTACGTGCCTTTGACTGGAATCAAATCCTCAACCCTTCAGTCCTCAGGTCGATTCTCTAACCACTGAGAAAAATGGCCATGGCTCCCTTACTCTTTAGTTTGAAAAATCTCTCTCTCTCTTCCTCTCCCCAGTGGTGATAAAAGGGGGAAATTCACTGACAAAGACACAAGAATCTTTTTTTTATAAGAACTTGTTCAAAACTGGGTATAGAAGGTAGAAGAACAGCAGACAAGATGCCAGATGAATGACTGACAATACAGTCATGAGAGAACTCCCAGCAAATGGAGTCCAGTGAAAGCAACAAGCAGCACTGCTGGGTAGGAGGGTTGGAATCTCTCTCCGAGGATGGATCTGTTTTGGAGGAGAAGCAGAACTTCACCCAGCATCATTTCATATCAGCTTGGGAGAAACAGCTCACAGTATAGGCTTGATTTATCAGCCTGTCCCAAGATGCTGTGGCCCTGCCAATGCCCAGCTTACTTTCAACCCCAAGCCTCTGTTCCTACTCTTGCAGGAACTTTTAGCCTTGGTCTACTCAAAACCTCTCTTGGGGGGTCTCCATGCTTTCAGAAAATACTTCTCAAATCCTGTCTCATCTCTGGTAGCTCCATTTTTCTTTAAAGTTGGAAGTAATTACTCTCCACACAATCCCTTTTGCATAGGGATTCAACCTTGTGGAACATTGAAATCCCTGTGAAATTCTGGATTTCAAATTACTCTATATGGCTCTGTTCTCTTTTCTTAACCAAAACCCATCTCTTAGGAAGTATGTCTCTATTTCCTATATCTTTTGAACCCCTAAATAGAAATTAGAGAAGCTGTTCTTACTAGTAATCTAAATCATGTGGGTATCTGTCAAGTACCTACTGGATATATGAGATGTGACCTAAACATGCATGCTCAGAAACAATGACCTGTCAATTACTTCTGAATGAGGGACAAGGAAGTTCTGCCGCTTTAGCCAGTTTGGCTCTGGATAGAGTGTCGGACTGCAGACTTCAGGGTCCTGGGTTCAATTCCAGCCAAGGGCACTCAATCCCTTATAAAGAGCATGCAGGAGTTAGCCAATCAATGATTCTCTCTCATCATTGATGTTTATATATCTCTTTCCCTTCTCTAAAATCAATAGAAATACATTACAAAAAAATAAAAAAAAAGATTCTGCAACCTGTCTGGCTCCTCGGGTATAGGAGAAATAACCGTGTACTACACGTTACACAGCACAGCGAGGGGAATATGCTCCTTTCCAGGTTAGAATCCAGGGGTAGTGAGCCTCAAGCTAAAAATATGTGCCGAAAGATACTAGATTCTGGATCAGACCTAGGAATGGAGTCAAGAGATTAGAGTTAGGATAAGAGTTGGAAGGAAAAACTTCGAGGGAAGGGTTTGAAAGTTTGAGCTCTGACTTAAGAGAATGTGTTTTCTGGCCAGACGAAGCACACCCCACTGAAAGGCAGAGCTGTAGGGACAATGATCTCGTGAACAGAACACATATGGACTGAATGGGGTTCAGCAGCATTTTTGGAAACAACTGAAAGTTACTTTTTCAGGCAATACAGGCCCATGATTGTGGTGCTTCTCAGAGGATGAGGAAGCTAATTCCTTCAGGAACTAACGGAATCACTGTAGGCTCATCCTGTGAAATGAGTGACAGGACAACTGGAACTTCTGGTGAACACACCTTGCAAATCCAAGTAGAATGAAGGTGTCCCCCACGAGGACAGGGCAGGCAAGGCACAGAAACCCGAGACCTGAGGCAGAGGAGCCCTTCACAGACAAACCCTGAAGGAGGGGCAGGAGGGGGACAAGTCCCAGGTCTACTCTGCACAATGACTCACTATAAAGGCACTGGGGACCCAGAGCAACCAGAAATGGGAGAGACAGATGAACAGCACTCGGAAAAGGAGGGAGCCCCAGATCCTGCTGTCACCACTGAGGACTAGCGAGCACCACAGCCCACGTGCCCTCCCAGGTGAACGGCTTTCACTGGCTGAGACACGATGAGCGTCTGGGATCTTACCTCAAAGAAGGAGAAGTGACAAGTGAAGGTGGAGATGGAAACACATCGGAGGCAAATGCACGTTAAAGGAGGGGGAAGCACGAACTTAAGGTCACATAAGTTATGTGGTGGTAACAGACTTGTGAATGCCTCGAAACACAATCCATGACAGCAGGTTACCGAAAAGAGAGAGCGAGACCGAGGTTTGAGAGGAAGGGACTGGATTTGGTTCTGGGAGATGAGCATGGAAAAGCTCTAAAACACGTTTTTGCTGGGAGTGACAGGCAGGCAGCTAACACACACAGCTAACTTCTCTAGTCACTTCTAACGGTTTGGAACCACCAACAATTCCAGAAAAACGCTGCCAGTCAGCAGTCCCCTCGCTGCCTCCCACCCACCTGGGCAACCATGAGGTGGGACTTCCCCGTCTCCTCTCCAGGGCTCCTCTCCTTGCTCCAGCTTGGAGATGACGTCCGGTTTGACGAGGTGGCAGCCTGTTAACAGAGAGAGACCGACCCTGAGCCTGGCGGCGGGGCTTCTGCAGAGAGCGGTGCCGAAGTGCCCTCTGAGCTGTGCCGCTTCACCAGGAGGCAAATGCCCTGCCTGGTGCCCAAACACACCATTCACATTTATCCCATCAAATTCATCAGAAAACGTGTGGGAAATCCCGGATGACTTAGCAGCTCGGCCGCTCTGCTCACCCACGGAGATGAGGTGGCTGTAGTTCTCCAGCATCACATCCCTGTAAGTGGTCTTCTGCTCCGGGCCCAGCTGCTGCCACTCCTCCTGGGTGAAGGCCACGGCCACGTCCTTGAATGACACCGGCTCCTGTAACAGCAGCGCGATGGGACTTGGGACGGGGACGAGGCGTCCGGGGACAAGAGCTTACCGGGTCACTGGCAGAGGCAGCCAGGGCCCCGGATCCCTCTGTGTTACAGGTGGTGGAAGGGGAACAACGCGCTGAGGCAGGCACTGAAAGGTCACTCAGGGTTCACACCCAAAAAGAAACGGGTCTTGACTGAGCCACACACTCCTGGCTGCTGGGGAGACTCAGCCGGGCAGGCGGCTGCCCGAGGAGCCCGGGCCCGAGGACACCCATGGAAACGGGCCCCTGCTCCTTCATCCTGCTTCCAACACGAATGGTGCTGGTTCTGCTGCTGCTCCAGCTCAGCCTCCTCAGCTGGCTCCTCCCCCTCCACGTCATCCCAGGTGGAAGGCTCTGGGCTCCCTTTCGATCCGTTACTCTGCTGTCTGCACTCACTGCTCCGATGCTGCTCCATCTGCCTCATGGATTTAGTTACCGCCTATGGGTCAGCATTTCCCCACTGGCTATCACCAGCCCAGACTCTCTCCTCGTTCCTGATAGGTCCAGATCTCAACCTCAACGTGCCTGAAACCCAGCCGCTGTTCCTGTCCAAACCTGTCCCTCCAGCTTACAGGAGCCAATCGGCAATGCCTGCCAGTTACCAAAGCAACAGGCAAGCCAGGCAGCACCTGCTGGTTTGGTATTGTTATGCAGGGGTAAGCCTGCGGCAGGGTCAGCACCATTTCTATTGGTAACACACTGTTGCCGCTTGCAAACAGCGTGACCGTGACTGTTGCAAGCCAGTGTGTGACTTGGTGATAGCTGTAAGTGCTAGTAGCTTGGCCAAGTTCACGTTTATGCAGAAGGTGAGGGGAAATCGCACTGTTCTTCCTCTGGCTTAAACCGCTTTGCCTTGGCTGGTGCTGCTCAGTAGTTAGTGGGTCATGAATTTGACTCCCAGTCATGTACCTGGGTTGCAGGTTTGATCCCCAGCCCCAGTCAGGGTCCGATGTGTCTCTCTTATGGAAATAGTTCTCTCTCTCTTCCCCTCTCCCTCCCTCCCACTGATTCTAAAAATCAATAGGAAAAAAATATCCTCGGGTGAGGATTAAAAAAAAAGCAGCAGCTTTTCGGACACTTTTAATTTTAAGAAAGTGCGTTTTGGGAACTTGGATAATGAATTAAGAAACCAATCAGAACTGCAGACTGAGGATTTTAGGTTAGTTAGAGAAGACGAAGGAACAACCATTAACTGCTTCAGGAGCCCCTCAGACCAGTACTGTGAGGGACAGCTGTGTGGTCACACAGGCTGGAACATGGACGTGGCAGTGAGAATACTTTGTGACCATCCTCATCACTACCCTCAGAGCTAGCTTTCCTACAGCGAGGAGGGGAACACCGGCGCCTTACACTTTCCTAGAGGCCCGTCCTAACTGGCCAGGAAAGGGGGGAAGCACCGAGACCCCACTAGTGAAGACTGGGAGAATTGTCCCCCAGAGGACTGGAACGGCCTCAGGCCTCAGAGGGACAGTGAGAGCCACTGGCCCAAAGACTGTGGTCCAAGGGTCCTGAGCCAGCAAGTCAGGCGTCTTCAAACTACGGCCCGGGGGCCACATGCGGCCCGCAGAGGAGTCTGATCCGGCCCGCCGGGTTTTTTGGGCAGTGAGCGCAGCCGAGGTGTTACAGTAGGAATTAGTAGTTCATATAGTCCGGCCCTCCAGCTCTCTGAGGGACCGTGATCTGGCCCCCACTTTAAAAAGTTTGAGGACCCCTGCAGCAAGTCCTTCCTCCTCACATCAGGGAAAAGACACTCAGACCCGCCTCCAGTCAGGGGTTCGAACGCCGCCTGCGTGGCCTGTCTGAAGAAAGCGACTGACATGGCTCCAGAGCCAGGGAGGGGAGACCAAGAGCAGACACATGGAAGAACCACCATACCAAGGATTTCCTCCTCATCATCACCACTGCCGCCGCCACCGGCACCACCAAAGACGCTACGCCCAGCACTCAAGAGGAGGGCGCTCTTGAACTAGGGATCTCACCCACACAAACTTGCTCATTTTGGGAAATTTAAAAAATACCAAGTTCTCAATTTTTCAAAATGAAAATATTACAAAATTATATGGTAATCCTGTAAAACAAAGTAAACTTGGAAAACAATGTTTACCAATGTGACCCACTGGAAAAATATATAAACACTTGAGACTGTAAGTCAGCAAGAAAAGCAAAGCAGCAGCACCTGACTCCAGGCACAGGCTCTCCCCGCAGCGACTGAGCCGCCCGCTCGGAAGGGGCAGGTAGGCCCAGGCTGTGCCCACCCTCACGACAGAGCTTCCCGCAAACTGCGGGGCTGCCTGTCATCTCCCACAACCACTGTTCGGAAGTATCGCCCCAAGAGAAGCTCCTGGAGAGAAAGAATTGCCTCTTTCAACCACGTCCAAGGAAAGGACACAAACCCACCCAGGGCACTGCAGATGGGCGAGGCAGGAGTGGCTAGGTCACAGGGGCCTTTAGCAGGTCAGAGGGCAGGGACAGAACCAAGGCTGCAGGCTTCCAGATAAACCAGGAATGGGGCATCAGTAACCTTTGCCAGACACGTCACTGCACAGTCTGCGGTGCAACCCCAACAGATGATGGGAGAGACTTGGGGAGACTTATGTGAAGGGGAGAGGCCACTCCTCCAGGCGGCCCTGGTTTTACCCCGGATCAAGCATTAACAATGTTGTCACCAACAGCAAAGTCATGTGCTTGGAGTGCTCCCTGGGCAGTGTGCCCCTGGCTTACAGGAGGCACAAGGCACAGATGGCAATGGCTCAGGGCTCATTGTTAAGGATGGCTAGTCACAATTACAGTGACATCATCAGTGAAATCTGTTATTTTTTTATTTTTATTAGTTCATCCTCAACCGAGGACCTTTTCCCATTGATTTATAGGGAAAGTGGGAGAGAGATGGACAGAGAAGAACATGAATGTGAGAGAAACACATTATTTGATTGCCTCCTGCAGGAGCCCCGACCAGGGCCTGGGCTGGGGAGCAGCCTGCAAACAAGGTATGTGCCCTTGACCGAGACCCTTTGGTCCACAGGCTGAAGCTCTATCCACTGAGCCACACCGGCTAGGATGCCAACAAAATCTTTAAAAACTATGAGAAAACAAGTGTTTTGTCTGGTCAGTGTAAGTTGAATATCTAACGGTATTTATCATTTTTGTGATGAATGTCAGAACAAGAGGCACACCTATACTTGGGCTTTAAGAGCTCAGGAGGGCCCTAACCAGTTTGGCTCAGTGGAAAGAGCGCACCTGTGGACTCAAGAATTCCAGGTTCAATTCTAGTCAAGGGCATGTACCTTGATTATGGGCACATCCCCAGTAGTGCAGGAGGCAGCTGATCGATATTTCTCTCTCATTAATGTTTTTAACTGTATTCCTCTCCCTTCCTCCCTGTAAAAAAATCAACAAAAATATATACTTTTTAAAAAGTGCAGGAGGATCATGCTATCTACACATGCAAACATGATAAATGCTGGAGTTGACATGCTGCTCTGTGATTTGTCTGAGCATATCTTTGATCTATTTTCACATGGTAATGTTTGAACTATTCACCTCCAAAAGGTGTATGCTAAAACAAACTAGGGAAGAAATACGTAACCAGAAAAACTCACCATATAGTTATTCATCTTCTGCTGCTCTTGGAAAAACGAGGACTGTGAAACCAGAGGCGGACCTGAAGAAGGAACACAGAGGCGACGAAGTTAGCGATGTGGCCAGCCAAGGAAGTACTCTTCCTGCGTAAGAACTTGCCCAGAAAGTTCCATCAGACACCTCGGGAGACTGTTCCTTAAACCTTCAGAAGTGACAGGAAATGAGGGAGAGCCCACCTGCTGGTCTGTAACTCCCACATCACTATGTGGTGACTGCGTGGATGCATCTCTCATTAGTGAATGAACGCCAAAGCCTAGTGAAATAACCCCCATCATTCAACACTGGAGGCCCGGTGCACGTGCACAGGTGTGGTCCCTCGGCCGGGCATGCGCCCCTTCCCAATCCGGGAACCCTCAGATGGTGCAGTGCCATGTCTGCCAGTTTCCACCCAATCCCTGCAGCCCAGGCTGAGAGGCCCCGCTGGTGCACAGGGCCTCTAGCAGGCACGTAAGATCTTTGGTTAGCCTCTTCCCACCCTCCCTTCTTCCTTCTGAGGTTCCTCAGTCCGGCCCATGTTTCCATGCATGTGCGCTGAGCCTCTGTCCCCTGGTGGTCAGTACGCATCACAGTTACCTGACAGTTGGGGATAGTGGCTCGGGCTTTTATATACGGAGAAGATAAAGAGAAATTTCATTACAGTCATCTGTTTTTTTTTACTCTTTTAACAACTTAAGATCAATAAGTCTTCAGGATGCTCTGAGTAAAGGGATACACTCCAGCAGGGCTAAGTCTAAATTTTTTGTACAAATTTGAGGGAAAAAATCTAAGAAACTTTGACTTAACTATAATACATGGCAAAACACTTGCCCTGGGGGCTCTGAGTCCTGTTGACAATCCCACCGACACAGGGACACCCCGGCAGGTCCCCGCCCTCCTCAGGCCCCCGTTCTCCCGCCCGCACCCAGGCGGAGCACGCCCCCCGCAGGCTGACCTGACGCGCTGCCCCGGGACTGCCCCGGGGGCTCCAGGGCAGTGGGCACACGCTCAGGCCGGTGACCGCGGTCCTGGGGGACGTTTGGGGACACGTTGGAACCCGGGAGGGCGAGGCGGAGGGAGGGGTGTTGGGTGCAGGGAGGAGGGCGCCGTCCAAGCCCAGGCTGGGACCTCCCGTTCCCCCGGGAGACAGGCAAGTCCGAGTGCGGGGCGGCGCCCCTCCCAGCAGCCCGCCCTCCGGGCAGACACGCGGGTCCGGGAGGCGGTCCCGCTCCTCCCGCTCCTCCCGCCCTGGTCCGGGCGAGTCCCCAGCGCCGCTCCCTGCGGGCGGGAGACCCCACCTCCCGGGGTCGCCCACGCCCGGCCGCCCGTGGGGGCTCGCTCACCTGCCCCGAGGCTCCGCGGCGCCGCTTCTCCCGCGGGGTCCCCGCCTCCCAAGCCGCGTCCCCGAGGCGCCGGCCTGGGCCTTCGGGACAGACTCACTCCGGGGACGTCCCGCCCGGGCCGCGCCGCCGCGAGGCGGACGGGCCCAGCCCGACCCGACCCGCCGCCGCCCGCTCCTCGGCCTGGCCCGCGGGCTCCGGGGTGGCCTCGGGCTCCCCGCTCCACGCTCCGCCCGCGCAGGCTCTGGAGCGCCCGCCCCGCCCGCTGGGTGGCGGCCCGACCGGACGGCGGCAGCCCCGCAGGCCCCGGGTCCTCGCCCAACTGAGGCCGAAGCGGGGGCACCGGGGCAGCGGTGACCGGGGCTCGGACAGGAAGCCACAGCGGCGCTGCGGCAGGGCGCCTGCGCGTACACGCACACAGCCCGAGCGCACATGCGCACCAGGACGCCGGAAGTCGCCTGCCAGGGCCCGCCCGGGGCAGCGGGACTCCATTTCCCAGAAGTCTGCGTGCCGTCCCGTTAGGGAGCGTCTTCCAAGTCTCCACCATGTCCAGCGGCGGAGAGGCGCTGTATGGGGCGAGCTGGCCTCTGAGGTGGGACACAATGTTCCCTGTGATTTAAAGGAATGCCTGTCGTGTGGACGCTGCACCACGTGTCTGGGCGCCCTGCCCTTTGGTTATGTGAGGGCTGACGGATTAGAATCAGGGACCATTAACAGCCCTGACAAAATGGGGCAAGGGCTGTATCATGCTCACCGACAAGTGCAGCATTTGATTAAAATATTAGTAAATGGAGTTCTGCGATCACATCATGGAGTGTTAGTCTGGATGCCTTCCCCCGTGGGAAAAAGAAACTCACCCCTGACACGCAGACAGGGTCCCTCCTGGGCTTCTCTTCACTCAGCTACTCCCCTCTGCAGAGCTGCTCCAGCTCCTGGAGTTCTGCATCCCCCGAGCTGCTCCAGTGGCCTGCGAGCACCCTGTCACTTCACTCCTCACTTCCTCCGTGTCTCCCGGTCACAGTTCTGGCCTAAAGCGTCCCTGGACCGGATAGGGGCAGCACCGGAACACTGCGGGCCCGCTGGAATTGTTAGAAATGTGAATCCTGCACTGTGGACCCTGACTGCTTTGTTCTGATTAGAGAAGGCACATGCTCACCTGCCTGGGAGCACACCTGGGAGCCGGGCGCTCACCTGAGAGCTGGAAGCTCACCTGGAGAGGCGGCCCATCTTCCCCACCCGGGAGCTGCTTGTTATCTGCCTGTTATCGTGGGAAGATTAGCAACCTCGGTGCAGAAACCAGAGCCTCCGCCCCGTGAAGACCCCCAGGCCTTGGCAAATCTCCAGCCTGCCCTGTCCATTCGGCTTGCCTTTTCCTACTTCCCCGTGTGATCTTTGTCCTCCTCCCCAGTACAGGCAGTTGGCTTATGGAGGGGCAGAGCAGATGTGTTTGGGTGGCCTGCTGCTCTCCTCTGCTGTTGGCAGGACCGGAATGAACGCGCATGTATGATTCACCCGTCTCTGCAAGCAGTGACCAGCGGCCTTGAACCCATTGGCTGTCCGGTTACAGACCCACACCTGTCTCCCTTCCTGGGCACCTGAGTGCTGGCAGAGCCCAGGCCATGCCAGTGTGTTGTGTAATGAATGCTGTGGTGGCCCTGGTCCCGGGTCTTTGGGGAAATCCCTAAATCGGTGGAGTCCCTGACCTATGCAGGCTCCTTGGCACACCAGGCCAGTGCCTACACAAGAAACCGCACAGCAAACCCGGTCGCCAAGCTCAGGGCGCCTTCTGGCTCTGAAACACCTGTGTGCCAGCGCAGGCACTGCCGGGGGTCTCCGGAGTTTGACATCTGGGAGTGCAAGCATCCTGTGTCCCCTCTCAGGCGCTCTGCTCCGTGACCCTGCGTCCATGTGATCAGCTGCTCTTCCTCCATGAGCTCATCCTTTGTTCCCTTCCACGCCCCCCTGAAATTTCTACAATACCCTCATTTCTTTTCTTTTCAAAAAATATTTTATTGATTTTTTACAGAGAGGAAGGAAGAAGGATAGAGAGTTAGAAACATCGATCAGCTGCCTCCTGCACACTCCCTTCTGGGGATGTGCCTGCAACCAAGGTACATACCCTTGACTGGCATCGAACCTGGGACTCTTGAGTCCCGGCTCTATCCACCGAGCCAAACCAGCCAGGGCAGGAGATTTTATTTTTAACCCCACCGCCTCCCCATCAGCTTTTATTTAAAATTATTATTATTGTTTGAGTGATTGATTGCCTGCTTTTATTTTTAAATCTTTATTGTTGAAAGTATTGCATATATCCCTCTTCTCCCCACTTCTAGCCTGCCCCCACCCCCGCCCCTGCCTCCCCATCAGCTTCTGGAAACACGTGGCCAAAAGCACAGTGCATTGTTTCACCACAGAGAGGTGGTCATCATTGTCCTTATGGTCCCATTTGCCCAACAACCCTCCTTCCGAGGTAAGATCTCACCTTTTTCCGACTGTGAGTACTTCCTGACTTTCATAGTGTCATGCATTAGTTGTGAAATCTACAAAAGCTACAGTTTCTCTTCTCTTTCCTTCCCTGGAGAAGCCATAGCGGGGCATTTACTGATTCCTAGTATTTTAGTGGAACTCCTAGTATTTCAGTCAGTGGACATGATACACCGCTCTGTGCCCGTGCCCAGTTGTGGGGGAATCCCTAACCCCAAAGGAGAGGACAGGGACTGAGACACCCTTCCTGATCGCCCGCAGAAGAGACAAGTGGGAACCTGGCGCCTGCCCAAGCGGCCAGGTCTCCCCATACAGCGCCTCTCCGCCGCTGGACAAGGTGGAGACTTGGAAGACGCTCCCTAACGGGACGCCACGCAGACTTCTGGGAAATGGAGTCCCGCTGCCCCGGGCGGGCCCTGGCAGGCGACTTCCGGCGTCCTGGTGCGCATGTGCGCTCGGGCTGTGTGCGTGTACGCGCAGGCGCCCTGCCGCAGCGCCGCTGTGGCTTCCTGTCCGAGCCCCGGTCACCGCTGCCCCGGTGCCCCCGCTTCGGCCTCAGTTGGGCGAGGACCCGGGGCCTGCGGGGCTGCGCGCCGTCCGGTCGGGCCGCCACCCAGCGGGCGGGGCGGGCGCTCCAGAGCCTGCGCGGGCGGAGCGTGGAGCGGGGAGCCCGAGGCCACCCCGGAGCCCGCGGGCCAGGCCGAGGAGCGGGCGGCGGCGGGTCGGGTCGGGCTGGGCCCGTCCGCCTCGCGGCGGCGCGGCCCGGGAGGGACGTCCCCGGAGTGAGTCTGTCCCGAAGGCCCAGGCCGGCGCCTCGGGGACGCGGCTTGGGAGGCGGGGACCCCGCGGGAGAAGCGGCGCCGCGGAGCCTCGGGGCAGGTGAGCGAGCCCCCACGGGCGGCCGGGCGTGGGCGGCCCCGGGAGGTGGGGTCTCCCGCCCGCAGGGAGCGGCGCTGGGGACTCGCCCGGACCAGGGCGGGAGGAGCGGGAGGAGCGGGACCGCCTCCCGGACCCGCGTGTCTGCCCGGAGGGCGGGCTGCTGGGAGGGGCGCCGCCCCGCACTCGGACTTGCCTGTCTCCCGGGGGAACGGGAGGTCCCAGCCTGGGCTTGGACGGCGCCCTCCTCCCTGCACCCAACACCCCTCCCTCCGCCTCGCCCTCCCGGGTTCCAACGTGTCCCCAAACGTCCGCCAGGACCGCGGTCACCGGCCTGAGCGTGTGCCCACTGCCCTGGAGCCCCCGGGGCAGTCCCGGTGCAGCGCCTCAGGTCAGCCTGCGGGGGGCGTGCTCCGCCTGGGTGCGGGCGGGAGAACGGGGGCCTGAGGAGGGCGGGGACCTGCCGGGGTGTCCCTGTGTCGGTGGGATTGCCAACAGGACTCAGACCCCCCAGGGCAAGTGTTGTGCCCACCGTCTCCTGGTTTCTTAAAGGAGTAAGTCAGCACCAGCCAAGTCTTGTCTGATAAATCAAACCATGCCATCAAGCACATTTATCCCATTTCTGAGAGCACATACTCTGTTCCTCTGTAATCGTTGATTTTTAACGGAAAGAAAAGTAAGGAAGTAGGTAAACAGTATGACAGGTGTCCCCCCTTCCCCCTCCTCCAATCACCACCTTTTTATGTAATGGGACGGCTGTTTGAAAACGGAGTCTGTGTTTATAGTCACCAATGAGAGGGACCTGTCATTCCCTCCATTCCTTTGGGCGGGGCAATGGTTTGGGTGTGTCTGCCCTCTGTCACCCTGGAGCCCTTTCTGAGTGTTCACCGGGCATCATTCTATTGCTTTTTCTTTGGTGATTCTTTTTTTTCTTTTTTCTTTTTTTTTTTTTTAATATTTTTTATTGCTTTCTTATAGAGAGGAAGGGAGAGGGATAGAGAGCCAGAAACATCGATCAGCTGCCTCCTGCACACCTTCCACTGGGGATGTGCCCACAACCAATGTATGTGCCCTCGACCGGAATCGAACCTGGAACCTTTCAGTCCGCAGGTTTATGCTCTATCCACTGAGCCAAGCCAGTGACTCTTATGCAGAAGGTTCCCGGCTACACAGGCCAGGGGCTAGGGTACCCATGACTTCACTGACTTGCTTGTTCTCCCCCAGGTCCATTGCGAACTATCTCTGCACGTTCCCAAGAGCTGCCGAAAATGCACAAGTCCCAGGTGAGTTCCCACTTGCTCTGTAAGACCGCTTAGGGAGTTTCAAGGCTCCATACTTCCACCTGGGAGCAGAGAGCTGGGAAAAGACTGAAATGCAGCTCGGAGAGTGTCGGCCGATCGGCACCAGAATCCTTTGTGAGTTCACCTGTCCAGGTAGCATGATACTTCAGGGCGAGTGAGATTGAGCTGCAAATACAGCCAATGCCCTTGACCGTCATAGGAAAAGGGAAATACCATCTTTTAGGTGGTTTGTATAGACAATAGGAGACTGTGGTTTGTTAGTTGTGGGTTATAAAGATCTCCTAGGACTTGGGAATTTTTCTTTAATAAAGTTGATAAAACATAGATGGCTATGTAACAACCAGGACGTCATTGCAGTATATGGCTTGTACTCGCTTTTTTAGGCAGAGGGCCTCCTGCCCAAGGGAATGATATTTTGTTTTTTTCAGGCACCAAAATATTGTGATTGAAATAGACACATTTCCATTGTTACACCGAAGTCAGGGCACCGGCCTGTTGGTCCTCAGACGTGCCTGTCAGTCTGTGTATCTGGTTGCCCAGAAAACAATGCAAAACCAGTATCCTCTGGTCAGGGTGTCCTCACGCCCCGTTTCCACTCAGGCCTCAGGGGCTGGGCTTGGTCCTCCCCACTTGCCTGCATCTGTCGGTGAGGATTAGCCGGGACCTAATTATAGCCAAATCCTGTGCACATGTGCCATCCTTTCCTCACGTGACACGCATATGCCTTTGGCATCTGTGTCTTCCATACCGATACTTCCTTCTTCACTTGGCTTTAAAATAATTCTGTCTTTCTCCATGTGTCTCTGAAAGATCAAGGGGCTTTCCAAAGTGGGCGGGGATAACTCACAATACTGTTCTTCGTTCTGTAAGATCCGGTGTTCCAAATTCCAGTTTTCTGAATGGTTTTTTATTTGTCCTTTTTCAATCAGGATACAGATAGAGGCCATACCTTGCAGTTGGCCTCTTTTAATAATAACTGTCCCTTTCTGTCGTGTTATTTCCAGGAAATTTGTTTCCTGAAGACACTGGGTGCGCTGAGAGGTCGCTGGTTGATTCCGGGTCAGGGCACATGCCCGGGTTGTGGGCTAAGTCCTCAGTGGGGGCGTGCAGGAGGCAGCCGATGGATGTTTCTCTCACCTTCTCCTTTCCTCTCTAAAAATCAATAAAAGGTCTTTAAAAATGTTTACAAAGTAAGCTGGGTTATCCTCAGTTTGCCCCCCATCTGGACTGTGCTGATTGATTGCTGTCTGTGTAACTTTGCTTTTTAAGTTGCTGGTGCTCCTGGTAGAGCTGGCAGTGAGAGGTGGAATTCACTCAGGCTTGGATCCCGCTCTTTGGGAAGACTGTGCTGACTGTGACATCTGTCCTCTTCCTCCGGAGGCCCTGTTTCCTTCCTGTCGTGTCTTGGATGTTGGCGTCTGTGGACTGACATCCGTTGTCCAGATCCACGAATTCGCTGGGGGAAACCAGCTGGGGATGTGCTTCTTTACCGTTTCTGCTTCGTTTGCAAACTGGGGTCCGCTTCTCGGGAAAACGTCCCCGCGGCCCTGTGATCCCGCGGGAAGGACAGTTCCCGGCATCCTGAGGGGCCAGGCTCTGGTTTCAGCCCGTCCTCTGTGAGCTCAAGGTAATCCATTGGGTGGATGGAGAGGTTCCCCTTTCTGATGTTTACGGGGGCCCATCTGTGCATCCCTTCGCAGCAGTCCCTGCTTCCTTTTGAAGCATTCCCTCTGTGTTTTATAGTAGTTTTCTTTTGTCCAACATTTTATTTCGAAAAGCTTCGAGTTTACAGAACAGTCACAGAGATGGTACAAGAACTCGTTCCTGTGGCCGAGATGCTCAGTTTTTGACATTTTTAACATCTGCTTTATTACTTTCTCTGTGCGGGTTTTACATTTATTTCTGAGTTCTTCGAGAATGGGTGTCATGTCACGCTCCCTCCATCTTTGATTCCGATTTAAGCTTCTAAGATCCAGAATATTCTCTTACATATTCTCGGCACAGTTACTAAATTTAGGAAATCTAACATTGATATGATGCTTTTATCTAATCCAGGTCATCTTTCAGTTTAGCCAGTTCCCCAGGATTCCCTGTGTTTAAATTCTGGCAGAGGCTGCAGTCGGGATAGGAATCACATCAGCTCTTTCTCCTCTCCTCTGTCTCAGCCCCGCCCGGCCCCAGGCTGGCCGCTGGTGGGAGCTGTAGGGCCCACGCTCTCAGTTCCATCTCTCGGAATGGCTGGTGCTTCCCGATAAAGAAAAACCCTGACTTTAGAACTTGAGAGGACAGAGGCATACGTGTGTGCGAGCATGTGTGTCCGTAGACATTTTAAAAGTGTAGCTGAAACCGGTTTGGCTCAGTAGTAGAGCGTCGGTCTGCGGACTGAAGGGTCCCAGGTTTGATTCCGGTCGGGGGCATGTACATTGGTGACGGGCACATCCCTGGTGTGGGGTGTGCAGGAGGCAGCTAATCGATGATTCTCTCTCATCGACGTTTCTATCCCCCTCTCTCTCCCTTCCTCTCTGTAAAGAAAAAGAAAAGAAAAAAAAAAAGTTGTAGGCTGCCGAGACCGGTGTGGCTCAGTGGACAGAGCGCCGGCCTGCAGACTGAAAGGTCCCAGGTTCAATACCGGTCAAGGGATGTACCTTGGTTGCGGGCACATCCCCAGTGGGGGTGGTACTAGAGGCAGCTCATCAATCTTCCTCTCTGTAAAAAATCAATAAAATATATTTTAAAAAAAAGTTGTAGGCTGTTCTCCATGGGAAACAATGTCAGTTACTAAGGATCTGGGTATTTTTTTCCACTGTAATTTTTTGGATTTTTTTCCTTATCCTCTTGGCTATTTTATCAGGGAATTTCTGGTCTCTGTACTTCCCCCAGTATTCCGCTCTGGGTCTTAGCTGGCCCTCTGAGTGAGGGAGCCTGCATCTGCAGCTCAGAACCATTTCCGTCCTCCTGCAGGATGTCCTGCTGCTCCTCCACCTGTGTCTTTCCGGAAACGCCCAGTCTGCTGGGTCTGGCTTCCTTATCGCAAGTTTTCTTCCATCGTTTCAGTTTCTGATTTGCTGAGGGCCGTCCTCACTTATATTCTGTCTCATTTGTTATGCAAGCGTCTTTCTTGAGGATCTTGAAAAAATTCAATAATGCAGTCTCTAATTTCTAAGTATTCTCTGGTGGCTGTTTCTTAGCAGACTGTTCTCATTTTATGGAAGCAATATGTTGCTTAATTTATTAAAAGTATAAATCAATATAATGTTATAGAAGTTGTTTTTTTGTTTGTTTTTTCTTACAACTTGTTTTCTTTATGAATTTGATTGTGTTGTGGTTGGGTTATTCATTTTGATGTTTATCTTTTATTTATACTGTTTTCCTCAGCTGGTGATTTTTGACGTTTTTAATTTCAGTTTCTGAGAGAATTGTTGCCGCTAACGTGAGCGTGTCGGCGAATGAGCCTTCTGCTCCTCTCCCTGACGGAGGGGATGGCTACAGCAGGGGTGGCGAGGGATGTGGGTGTCACATCATTTCCCCTCAGTTTTTATTGTGTGAAATCCCCGCAGCACAGAACATGCTCTCTTCACCAGCTTCACATGCTGGTTCATGGAGTTAATACGTCCACATTGCTGGGCGGCCATCACCCCGTCCGCCTCCAAATGCTGCTCAGCTTGCACACCTGAAACTGTGCTTGTGAACGCGAACTCCCCACCTGCCCAGCCCCAGCAGCCCCGGCCGCCGTCTGTCTGTGAGCCGGACTCCGGACGCACACAGGCCTGTGTGACGGTCACTGGGCATGAAGTCCTGCACTCCGTTCACGTGCTCCACCGCCAGCTTCCTTCTCGTTCAGCGGAACAGCGCTCCGAGTGGGCGCAGACCACGCCGCGCTCACCCAGCCGTCCGGTACCGGCCGGGCACGCCCCTGGCAGCGTGGGAATTGCGCTGGGCACAGGCTGGACACTCTTCCAGGCCTCGCTTCCCGTTGCTTGGGGCGTAGACCCAGAGGTGGGCTCGCTGGGCACGTGGTCATTCTGGCTTTGTTGAGGAGCCGTCAGGCTGTGTTCACAGCAGCGGCCCCCTCTGGCCCCCGCAGTGCCCGGGCCCCAGTCCTCCACACCTTGTAGGGGCCCCGCTGGCGCGCCCGGCGGCTTCCGTGGCGCTGGCTCCCTGCTGCTGCCCCCGGAGAGCCACGCCCGGAGGGAGAGGTGACTGTCCTGCTCTCCTGGGTATTCCGCAGGAGGAAGAGAAGAGGGCCTCGGGGTAACGTTCCCGCCTTGTCACTTAGGGGTCTGGAGTGCGATGTGCCTCTGTCGTGGCCACAGGGTTTCACAGATCCGGCCTCATCGGGCTGCTCTGCGCGCCGAGAGCAGGAAGCGCGGCTGCCTGTCCTGTGTCGGTGCCAGCCGGCCAGGCGCTGTGCCCGGGACCTCTGGCCGGGCCTGGGCACGCTCCGGCTGCGTGAGTCTCTGTCCCCGGGCGGCGGCCCAGCGCCTGCCTGTCCAGCGTGCCCGCAGCTCTGGTTTCTCCCCTCCTCCCGCCTCCGGATCCGCTCAGGGAGGCCTGCTGTGGGCAGCCAGCGTCCGGCTCCAGGGAGGGGCTCCGGCACATCTCTGTGAACTGGGCTTTTGGGTTTGTCTTGGGCCGGAAAGGAATGGTGTGTGTTCGGCTTCCACTTGAATTAGGATCCCTTCACACGGTGCACAGTGTCCTCAGCAAAGCGCCCTCCCGCCCCTGCCCATGCCAGCCCTGGCACTGATGCTGCTGCTGTTTTTCCGTCGGCACTTCCTGCCCCTCCTCTTCCTTCTCGTCCTGCGGAATACCCAGCGGACCCGGCGCCTGAGCTGCAACAGGAAATGTCAATACTTTGCTTCTTGCATGCATGGCTCTAGCACCTGGGCATGCGCGCAGACAGCAGCTCCCCCTGCTGGCGGGTGGGGAGGAGAGCAGGGGGGGCCGCGCGCGAACAGCACCGAGAGGCCGGGGAGAGGAGGGGCCCCGACAAAGGCGCCTGAAGATCTGACAGGGACCAGGGGTGCTCCCCCTGCCGCCGCTGTCCGGTCACTTCCTGAGCAGCAGTGACGCCCCCGCTCAGTGCTCCCGCTGTGAATCAGAAAGCGGGTCCTTTGGTTTGAGGGTTTTGTCATCATTTTTTGACACAAAAAGGAACCCAAATGCCACGCGTTTCTGACATGGTTCGTTCCCCTCCCACCACCTGTAACACAGAGGGATCCGGGGCCCTGGCTGCCTCTGCCAGTGACCCGGTAAGCTCTTGTCCCCGGACACCTCGTCCCCGTCCCAAGTCCCATCGCGCTGCTGTTACAGGAGCCGGTGTCGTTCAAGGATGTGGCCGTGGCCTTCACCCAGGAGGAGTGGCAGCAGCTGGGCCCGGAGGAGAAGACCACCTACAGGGACGTGATGCTGGAGAACTACAGCCACCTCGTCTCCGTGGGTGAGCAGACAGCTCCCTGCACTGCTGCTGGGCCGGGGGGCGGGGGCGGGGGGGGGGCGAAGGAGGGGGCTTCTAGATCCATGATTTCATCCTCAGGTTTGAAGAAATAGGATTGGATTCCTTTTGGGCTCCCGGTAGAGTACTTGTACCTCTGCTTCTCCATCAGAACGTTCTAACTTTGCCCTGGATGGTGTTGCTCAGTGGTTAGAGGTTGGCCCGTGCACTAGAGGGTTGTGGGTTCGATTCCTGGTCAAGGGCATAAACCCGGATTGCAGGTTCGATCCTGGCCCCTGTCAGGGTGTGTGTGGGAGGCAACCAATTGATGTCTCTCTCTCACTTCAACGTCTCTCTCTCTCCCTGTCTTGTTCACCGTCTCTAAAAATCAATGGAAAAAAACATCCTCAATGAGGATTAGCAAACAATAAACAAAACCAATAAGGTGCTGTGCGGCCTCCAGGCCGCGCCCTCCCTGCAGCCGTGCCGTCTCCTCCCCGCAGGGTACCACAGCGCCAAGCCCCGTGTGATCGCCAGGCTGGAGCAGGGCGAGGAGCCGTGGGGGGCGGACGGGGACGCGGCGTGCCCAGGTGAGTGAGGAGCGGGTCCGCGTTCAGAACGGCCCCGGGCTCGGGAGTGCCCGGTCTCCGTGCCGTGGTGCCCCGTTCACCGCCCCGGGGCCCAGGGGCAGCTCCCCCCGCTGCGTCCACAGCTTCCTCGTGACCGTCCGCCTCTGGCTCTGCGTTCTCAGTGCCTCAGCTGCTCCGGGACCACAGTCTTCCTCGTCCGCAGGCGTCAGAAGGCTGACGAGAGAGGCTTTCGTGTTCTCTCTACGGAGGTCCGAGGCCAGCACCCCCAAGGCGTGTGCTGTGCTGTTGGGAGGATGGGACACAGCTCCCCGCTGTGTCCCCACTGATCGGCGCCTCCCCCGTCGCTCCTCCTGCTGTCTGTCTGTCTCCCGGGTGACGGCAGCCGCTGGGGAAGGGGTGTCGGCAGCGGGTTGGTTCCTCCTCTTCCTTCCTCAGGAAGCTGACCTGGGCCTGCTCGCCACACCGTTACTTTTCTCTGGGTTCTTAAAAGGGTTCATTCGGTCCCCATGTCAGGATCTGCGTTTGTGTTTATGCTGCGGATCCAGCTGCCTCCTGACCCTCCACTGTGGTCCCTGACAGAGGCCAGAGCCAGTGAGACAGCCCGCCGCCTCCATCCTCAGAAAGCCCCTCACTGCTGTGGTCCTCCCGCCCGCTCTGCTTAGGCAGCTGCAGTGAGCACAGGAGCCAGGCTTGCGGAGCAGCGGGGTTTGGAGCCAGGGCAGTGCTGGTTTGAATGGAGCTGTGAGTCCCGGTAATGACAGACTCACCGGTGAATGGACTTCTCTGATCTTTCCTGTGTGTATTTGGGGCTTTTGGGCTCAGGATTGTAGGTTTCAGAGCAGGTTCTCGGGATTGCGGTGAGTGTGGGCGAGAGTGGCTGACAGCAGTTTAGAGGATCCCATAATCTGTAAGAAGTTCAGATGTTAGGGGCAACTTTTGGAATCTTTTTTAAGGTTTTACACCAAATGAAACCCAGGAGTGTGGGAACTCTTATTTGTGTTGAGAATTGAGTTATGGTGTTGTGTCAGGGACATGACTGCTTTTAGGAAGTTTAAATCAGAAAATTGAAGGAAAATTAATGGTGGACCTTAACGGGCTTTTGTTGTGTCCAGCCATTCCAAGCAGATGCGTGAGCTAACGGGATTAGTCTGTTCCCAACCCCGTGGTATAGGCACCCTTGCCCTCATTTCAGTGAGTGAACCTGCATCAGAGTTAAGTCACCTGCTCAGGTCCCCAGCGTGTCGTGTGTCTGTGTTGGGGTCCCAGTACCCTGACCACTGGGCTCTGTTGTGCAGACAGGTTCAGTGGGAGTTAAATAAGACTGTGCACCCTTCAGAGCGCTGATCTCACTGGAAAGGTCTCCTGCCGTCCAGTCTTCTGGTGTTGGGACATTTCTGTGCAGGGAACTCTCCTTGGTGAATGTGTTCAGGGCTAGGGGGCTGGGACCCTGGTAGTTTGGTGTCTCTAAACATGAGGAACATGGAGCTTTTAGAATGTTCTTTTGGATTTCTGTGCAGAATAGAAAGGCAAAGATTTTGGGAGGAGCTCTGCTGGTGAGGATGTTACCATGGTAATCCTGTTGTGGAGTGATAGTTCACAGTTTAGTATAAGATTGTAATCTGCTTTTCCCAAGCGTCATCCATCCTTGAATGTTTCCTTTGAACATACATCCAGCCGTTGTTCTCCCACTGCCCCGTGTGCTCTGCCTGGGCCTAGCACTCTTCCAATGCCTTCGTTCTCTGCTCACCACTGTGCTTGTTTATTTTACCTTTTACACCAGAGTTTGAACATGTTTGTAAAGTAACAAAGCTACTTGTATTCAAAGTGAATTTATTATTTCTTTATCCACTAACACTGAGTCCTACCTCACTCTTATCCTTTCCCCATGATTCCCCTAGCTCTGCCCGTGTGTGTGTGTGTGTGTGTGTGTGTGTGTGTGTGTGTGTGTCTGTCTTGAATGACAAATCAAGGGGAAAAGAGGATTATACATGTGAGTTATTTTTTATTTGTGGAAATTGGCCTAAAAGCCAAGAGTTAACCCCACAGTAGGGTAATTGAGTACCACTCCTATCCTGTAACTACTATATTCAGATTCACAAGGTTTATTTAACTTTATTCCTTTTCAGAAGAAATCAAGAAATTTGATGATGTATTAGAAAGAATTCAAGAAAAGGAAGATGAACGTTCAAGGCAAACTGTTTATATAAATAGTAAAATCTTAATTGAAGAGAGAGAGAATACATTTGATAAAACTTATAATACAGAAGCAATCTTTGTTCCTTCAAGCATATCTCATAATTGTGTCTCTTGTGGAAAAAATGTAGAATCTAGTTCAGAATTAATTATTGGTGACAGAAGCTATGCAAGAAAAAAGTCTGATGAACTTAGCGAATGTGGGAAAACACACCATGGAGAGAAACCTTATGAATTTAATCAAAATGGGGAAGGCTTTTCTCAAAATGAAGAAAGTATTCTTCAGAAAGTTAATGTTTTAGAGAAACCCTTTGAGTATAATGAATGCGTGGAAGCCTTAGACAATGAAACCGTCTTCATCAGTCATAAGAGAGCTTATATTGGGGAGAAGCCCTGTGAGTGGAGCGACTCTGGACCAGACTTTCTTCAGATGTCAAATTTTAATATGTACCAGAGATCACAGGTGGAAATGAAGCCCTTTGAATGCACTGAGTGTGGGAAATCCTTCTGTAAAAAGTCAAAATTCATTATACATCAGAGGGCTCACACAGGAGAGAAACCTTATGCATGTAACGTATGTGGCAAATCCTTCAGCCAAAAGGGAACCCTCACCGTTCATCGGAGATCACACCTAGAGGAGAAACCTTATAAATGTAACGAATGTGGGAAAACCTTCTGTCAGAAGTTACATCTCACTCAGCATTTGAGAACTCATTCAGGAGAAAAACCCTATGAATGTAGTGAATGTGGCAAAACCTTCTGCCAGAAGACGCACCTCACCCTCCACCAGAGAAATCATTCAGGGGAGAGACCCTATCCGTGCAGTGAGTGTGGGAAATCCTTCTCCCGCAAGTCAGCCCTCAGTGACCATCAGAGGACACACACAGGAGAGAAGCTCTATCAGTGTAACGACTGTGGGAAGTCCTACTACCGAAAATCTACCCTTATCACACACCAGAGAACACACACAGGAGAGAAACCTTACCAATGCAGCGAGTGTGGAAAATTCTTTTCTCGAGTGTCATACCTCACCATACATTACAGAAGCCATTTAGAAGAGAAACCCTATGAGTGTAATGAGTGTGGCAAAACCTTCAATCTGAATTCAGCCTTCATTAGACATCGGAAAGTACACACGGATGAGAAACCCTTTGAATGTAGTGAATGTGGAAAGTTTTCTCAATTCTCTTATCTTACTGACCATCATACAACTCATTTAGGAGAGAAACCCTATGAATGTAATGAATGTGGAAGAACTTTCCTTGAAAATTCAGCCTTTGGTGGACACCAGTCACTTCCAGAAGGAGAGAAGTCCTATGAATGTAATATATGTGGAAAATTGTTCTCTGATTTGTCATACTACACTGTACATTATAGAAGTCATTCAGAAGAGAAGCCCTATGGGTGCAGCGAATGTGGGAAAACTTTCTCCCATAATTCATCCCTCTTTAGACACCAGAGAGTACACACAGGAGAGAAGCCCTATGAGTGTTATGAATGTGGTAAGTTCTTTTCTCAGAAGTCATATCTCACCATACATCATAGAATTCATTCAGGAGAGAAGCCTTACGAATGTAGTAAATGTGGAAAAGTCTTCTCTCGGATGTCAAACCTCACTGTACATTATAGAAGCCATTCAGGAGAGAAACCCTATGAATGTAATGAATGTGGGAAAGTCTTCTCCCAGAAGTCATACCTCACTGTGCATTACAGAACTCATTCAGGAGAGAAGCCCTACGAATGTAATGAATGTGGGAAAAAATTCCACCACAGGTCAGCCTTCAACAGCCACCAGAGGATCCACAGGCGGGAAAATGTGACTGTGCTCAATGAGGGGAATCTCCTGTGAAAGTCAGGCCTCATTTTAGAAAAACCCTCTGAATAATGATTTGGAGTCAGATATGAGCTGAGAGTTCATGTTTTTGAACGGGGGAAAACATTCAGATGTTAGGTTCATTTTCATCTGACTTTTCACAGAAGGAGAGTCCCTAAGAAGGCAACAGGAAGAAATGCCTTCGGCAACACGCTACAACTCATTGGACACTAGATAATTTATACAGGAGTCAGTTTTATAAATATTTAATATTTATTTTGGACTAACGTATTTACATATCAGGGAGTCATACCAAGGCAAAGTCTGTCAAAATTGATAAATGTGGAAAAATATTTTGTCTTGGAAAATGTTATACCAAAAGCCATATTTCTGATGTAAAATCACATGTTTATAGGAAAGATGTCAGAAACTGTCACCTCTAAACTTTTATTGTATAAAATGAAGTTTTCAAATCATCAGGACTTGATAAGATCAGTAGCATTAAATACCTATGTGGAAATTTATATCATATTTTAAAAATGCAATCTAATAACTCTATGCAAGTTTGAATTTGAATAATTTATGAGAAGGCAATATTCTTATTTGTGTATTAAAATGGCAAAATGTTGGTGAGATGTTTGGCAGGTACAAATAGTTAAATGCATAAGTTTCTATTATTTTCAGGCACTTATAAATGGGTTTCTAATAAATGTCTCACCAATAGTGATTTTTGTATTTTTCAACTACATTTGAGGGGGGAAAAAGGTTTTAAGACATACTATTTTCATAAACAATAATAGATAAAGACAACTCTGCTGCTCTTACTCTATAAAATATGCCCAGCTCTGATCCCATCCCTGTTTTTTAACCCACACATTTGATTGTGCATTGTGCCTCAGAAGCGTTATCTATACTTTTTGTTTGATATGAATACAGTGTCATTATTTTGTGCACTGCCCCTTATTTCCAGTATTTGGGAACAAATTAATACACGTTTCTAGCAAACATTTTTTTTTTTTTTTTAACTGGATGTCCTTGCTCTTCTCTTGCCTTGATGGAAGAGTTTGGTGTCTATCATTTCTTAACATGATTCAGAGGGTAGGTCCTGGTTAGTCCAAACCAGTCGTGATGATCCATTTTGATTGCCTGTAGCTCTTTCATCGTAGTTGCATGGCCCCGTCCTGGGGAGACAGAGTGATTAGATGTGTCTTGCTCCAGGAAGGGGAGGGTTTAATAATTAAAAATCAGTAACCGTGATGCCACATGAAGGAAAGTAATCTAGGAGGCAGGAAACGAATGTGGTGACATCGCCATTCACCTGTGTTCTTTAGTGGAATACAGAGTATCTTAAACTACAGTCAGCATCATGCTTAGTGGGGAAATACTGAAAGTTTTCTCCCAAGATTAAAAAACAACAGCACAGCCGAAACCGGTTTGGCTCAGTGGATAGAGCGTTGACCTGCGGACTGAAAGGTCCCAGGTCCGATTCTGGTCAAGGGCATGTTCCTTGGTTGCGGGCACATCCTCCATAAGGGGTGTGCAAGAGGCAGCTGGTCGATGATTCTCTCTCATTGATGTTTCTAACTCCCTATCCCTCTCTTCCTCTCTGTAAAAAAATCAATAAAATATGAAAATAAATAAATAAATAAATAAAAAACAACAACAGAACAAACAGACAAGGATATCGACTATCACTCATTTTACTCAGTACTGGTGACCTGTGCACAGATTCATGCACATTGAAATGAAATTAATTAAAAGGTGATTGGTGGGACGGGAATGGTGTAGATGGGTCAGACATGCCCTGGAGCCAACTTCCCACAGTCCCTCTGGCATCGTCAGAGTGAGGGGTTCCCTCCAGCAGGTGGGGTCCCTCTGCCTGGTCTGCAAGGGTCAAGCCGAAACGGGCTCCGACATCCCCCGAGGGGTCCCAGAGTATGAGAGGGCACTCTGCTAAGTTGCTGTCATATAGGGTGTGGAATACAAATGCAAGTGAGCAGTAAACCAGATTTGGGACCAACCATGCCCCAGCCAGAACATAACCCACCACCGAAGGTGGACTCACGCAGGCGGCCTCGACAGGAATTGGGCTCCCTCCTCTCTGGTTTCAGGATGTATTACCTGAGAACCACCTCTGCCAAGTCACTGCAGCTCAGCAGCTCCTGCTTTGAGCATCTGCCCCCTGGTGGTCAGTGCACATCATAGTGACCAGGCGGAGGGACACAGCATATTAGCCTTTTATATACATAGATGGTTATGCAGAAGGACCTAGCCAAAAAAGTAAGGGGAGACTTGTAAGCCAAAGGCTTACGATTTAGAATGAAATGGCATGATTTTGTATGTAGAAAAGTCTGAGAATTATACAGACAGAATTAATGAGTAAATTCAGCAAGGTCCATGAATACAAATTCGTTATGAAAAAATTGCTTTACTATACCAGCAATAAACATAGAAAATGAAGAATTTGGAAGCAATAGCACTTATAGTAGCATCAAAAATCCTCAAGTGCCTAGGGGAAAACTTACCTAACCGTGCTTTCAAGATAAAAACAAAAACAGCTGCAAAACAGAGAGACATCCCTGGTGCATGAGTTCCCGGACAGATCCTTCATGTGGTCCTTCTACCCACCCCTGAAATGGTTAGCGTGAACAGCAGCAGGAAAGCATGTGTTGGCAAGAATGTAAACAGCAGGAAGTCCGTGCTGCTGCTGGCATTGCCAGTTGCTAGATTTTGGAAATCCGGTGCTTCAAGCCAAACCCTTTTCCCAAACCTAGCAGAAACACGGGATGTCCACCAGAGACATGGACTGGGATGTTCATGGTGTAAAACGCAGAACCCAGAGCTCTCTGAAGGGTGAATGAACTTCATGGTATATTTCCCCTCAGGATGCTGTAATGCAGAGAGAATTAACATACAATTATGCAGCTTCATTTCACAAATAAAGTCAAAAACAGAATCCAGAGACAAAAGTGAACATCGTGTCTATTCCTTCTGTTTACACTAGGAGCAGGCGAAGCGTGTCTATCACTTAGACATCAGGAGAGCCGTTGGCCTGGGCACAGGCTGCGGGTGGGGGAGGGGGTCACTGGTGGGGTACATTGTATTTGAAATGTGGTGCTGACAATCCCAGTGTTCTGTGCACTCGGGATATGTGTGTTGTGTGTCTCTGCATGTGTGCTAGACTTCCATTAAAAGTGTTTAAAATCACAAATGCCTACCATTTCTGTTGCTCAGCATTCTTGCCATATTTTTCTAGATGAGTATGAATATGCTGCAGAACAGCAAGTAAATGGTAGATTTTGCATAATTCTGTGCAGGAAATACTCTTTATAGTAGTTTCCATAGCAACTGCTAAGATTTTCTACACTGTGACCATAAAGCTTAATGACTATAATGTATATTTTAAGTGAAATATTTGAAAGGTCATTACATGTTTTGTCATCCTACCCTTTGCATATATGAATGGGTCTGAACTGCCTCTTCAATAAAGAACTAATGTGTGTAAATGTTTCCTATTTTCTCAAATTGTTCACACTCCTGAGAAAGGGGTGCATCTTTTCGCTGTCACCAAGGTGACCTTTCTTTGCAGTAAGAAATATGGCGGTGAGTTTGATTTGATGGAGAAAAAGTATATTTTAAAGTTTTCAGGTAATCCTTTCAGATACACAGTTATCAGCACCAACGTGAGTGGGTAAAGGAAAAAACTAAGACTTTGACCCATAAAAAAACAGCTCTTGCCCTAGCCGGTTTGGCTCAGGGGATAGAGCGCTGGCCTGTGGACTGAAGGGTCCTGGGTTCAAGTCCAGTCAAGGCACGTGCCCCAGTAGCGAGTTGATCCCAGTGGAGAGGGAGGGGGGCGCAGGAGACAGCTGATCAATGATTCTCATCGTTGATGTTTCCTCCCTCTCTAAAATCAATAAATATATATATATTAAAAAAAAAATAGAGATCTTGGTTGGGCTCAGCTGATGGCACAGATGACATTTGCTGGAGCGCATACTTGGTTTTATTTCCCCTTCCCCTGCCCGCCTGACGGGATGTGTGAACAGGTGAACTGCGCCCCCTGCTGGCGGAGGGGTCAGCGGCGAGGTGAGGTCTGATCCCGCATTGGCTGCCTGTTCCCAGGCGAGCGGCCCAGCCTGGCGCTGCTCGGCCTCCACTCAGCCCGCTCCTGTGGTCACGGCCCTGTTCCTCCCATGCTCACTGCTCAGCGTGGGGCCAGGTAACTCCAGTTTGTCTCCAGTCTCCCCGGTGGGTCAGAGAGCAACGCAAGGCCGCCTGTGCCTGAGGACAGAGTTGCACCCAGTTGCGTTCGTCCCGGCGGTGCAGGAATGCTGTCACCCACAGCGGGGACACGGCGGCCCGCAGCACCTCCCTGAGCAGCGCTCCCCTCGTTAAACCGGGTGCCGGCCACAGAGACGCCAGCAAAATGTGCGTCCCTCCTCCCGCGGCCTCTGTGTCGTGGAAAACCCCGCACGTGGAAGAGTTTACGGCTCCGGGCCGATCGGCAGCTGCATTGACCTGCCGCTTGTGAGACGGGGCTGGAGTGGGAATCAGTCAGAGCTCCGCAGGGGGCAGGCGGGCCTGCGGGGAGAGGTGGCCGGGGCTGGGAAGGAACGTGCAGAGAGCGTGGCATCTGCTGAGCGGAACTTGGAAAACCACCCTCTGCTCCACGCGTGCGCCCATCAGCACTGCGGCCCTGCGGGCGCGGCTGGGGCAGGTGTGCAGGCGGCGGCCGGGGGCAGGTGGCGGCCGGGGGCAGGTGTGCAGGCGGCGGCCGGGGGCAGGTGTGCAGGCGGCGGCCGGGGGCAGGTGTGCAGGCGGCGGCCGGGGGCAGGTGTGCAGGCGGCGGCCGGGGGCAGGTGTGCAGGCGGCGGCCGGGGGCAGGTGTGCAGGCGGCGGCCGGGGGCAGGTGTGCAGGCGGCCGGGGGCAGGTGGCGGCCGGGGGCAGGTGTGCAGGCGGCGGCTCCTCCGCGCCCTGGGCCCGGCCCCGGCCCCCCAGAGGACGGGGATGACTGAGACCCTGGGAGGGGGCGGTCTTGCCGCGCTGGCCTGGGAGGTGCCCGGGAGGTGGGCATCCCCGCCGGCCGCGGTGGGCTGTGGCCACGTGTGTCCTCCCGGAGCCACGCAGATCGCAGTGCCCTCGGCCTGTCCCCCCGGGCCCGGGGCTCCGGGAGGACGTCCGGTCGGAGGACTGAGGATGCGGCCGCGGGAGGGACAGGAGCCGAGCCCGGGCGCCCGCGGGCGTCTAGAGGGCGAGGATGTGCGGTGAGAAAGCGCCCGGAGGGACGGCCTGGGCACACAGGTCCGCAGGAACATTTTATTTTTTCTGCCTGGCGCTGTGATGAGGAGCAGACAGAGGAGAGCACAGGTGCCGGCAGCCAGGGGAGCCGGCTCGAGCTGCGCAGACCGAGCGGAGCTCAGGGCGAAGGGAAAGGGCAGGCGCGTGTGACTGTCACGTAGGAGGGAAAAAACAAGACGGCCGGAGCTCTGAACAGGAATGGTCCGGACACAGCCATGCCACTAAAAAGAAATGTAAGGACATTAAAGATAAAAGTGTGAAACGGTTCCATGAGGAGGCCATCATTCAAACCTAACAGACCTGTCATCTTCCCTTTCTGGCCAGACTCATCTCCTGCCTAAACAACTAAAAACTGGACAACAAAAAAAATAAAATAAAGTAAAAATGAAAAAATAAAAACTGGACAAAGCCGATGAACCGCAGCGCTCGGACACTGGACATGGGGTGCGGGC